CGTTGCCGGCTCGTGGCCAGCTTTCCATCCCCCGGCACCCCCAAGTCCTTCTCGGCAGGGCTGCTCTCAGTCCTCCGAGGGAGCTCCCTGAGCTCGCGTGGTAAGAGGACGCAGCTCCACTTGTGGTCTGTGTTGCCCCAGCAAAGCTGCCTTGCGGTGCTGAGTTGGAGTAGCGCTGAGCAAACCCTTACACCCTCTCTCTGGACCCAAGGGATCAGTGGGAAGCTGACCAAGCGGGGAGTGTGTTTCTGCATCAGCACGGCTTACGAGGGCACCTACTTGGATTCCTACTACCTGGACCTGCTCACCAAGTCAGAAGTGCAGATTCACCGCCACTCCATCCCCATCTTCATCCCCCTGGAGCAGATCGCCAAGAAGTACTTGCAGACGGACATCAGGCGCTTCTTGTCTGTCCTGTCCGACCACCTGAACGCTTACGTGGGGAGGAGGTACCAGGCAGACCAGTTACAGGTACCCGTGGCCACAACAATGCCGTTCACTCGTCCTTTGGTGTACCAAGCGTTACGAGTGAAGTGCTGGGGGGAATCTTGGCGGTTTTCTTTATGTGGAGCACTCGCAGTTCTGGTTTTTAGAATTTCACAAATCATCGCGTTACTATAAACTCAGTTGCCCGTTTCTTTGATTGTCATGTACTTGGATGTTGTCTGATGGCTCATTTAAAATTTACTGCCAAACTCCCTAAGCTGAAATAGCTGTGATCTTGTAAAAAGCCGCTGGAGGACGTGGCTTAAGGGTGTGCACGAGCGCAGGTTTATCTAGGTCTTTCCCGAGCGAAGGTTGCTGGCTGTACAGCGTGTGGGCATGCCAGGCTGGTATGGAGGGTGGGGGTAATGAACTCGGTGGGTGCCCTACGCTAATGGGCTCCCTTCCTAGCTTCGTGTTTCAGAAGTTGTCTTTGTCCCTCCAGGAACGTTTTTCAGACCAGATAGAAGGAACCTTGCAGAGGAACTCCTTGTGTAACTTGCTGGTCTTTAATTACGACGTGTCAAGTAAAAGCAAGACCTTTCCGTTCACCGCGAGGCTGCTTTACGGGGATCTCTGTTGCAGCCTCCCCACTGAAGTCACCGTTTCCCCTGCGCGTAAGTGGACGGTGCGGGGGTCTGCCTGGGGCTGTGGGGTGGGCAGACCGTGCTGTGGTTCTGCAGACGGATGGGGTTTCTTTCTAGTTGAGTTTGGGGACTAAAGGGAGCGAGCTGACATATTTCTGAGGGAGAAAAGGTGATAGAAGAGGTTGTGTGCAATCGGTGTTGGATCTTGAAGCGGTTGTAACTCATCCCTAGCACAAGAGCACAGATCTCTTGCAGTACTGGCAAGATGGGATGGCTGGAGGGAGGGAAATATGATGGGGTTGAGAAGGGAAAGGCCTGAGCGCAAGCTTGGATCGCTTCAGACGGACAGGCTTCTCGTTCCCAGTTTTCAATTACGCGGAGTGCAGACTCCGGTACGGTCCCAGCAGATCAGGATGCTGTTTCACAGGTCTCACGGATAGACCCCAGCCTGTGCTAGTGCGCTCCGCCTGCGTGGGAGAGCCTGGCGAGCAAGCGCAGCCAAAAACTCGGACGCTGTCAGTCTCAATCTGATAGTTTGTTCCAGTCGACTTACGGCCTTGGACTTGTTTCCGATCCTTGGAAACCTGCCATCCAGCCCCGTGATCCTTCCGCAGGGTGGGAGTTACCTGTAGGCAAATAAGACGGAATCTTTTCAGCATCAGGAGTTTCTCTCTCTCAATGCAATTAGATAAATGACTAATTGGGGCCTGATGGGATGTCTCGCATTGCGCAGCCAGTCCCTAACTGCCCCTGCTGCGCTGTTAGGTGGGCTGGCATGTGCTGCAGTGCGACAGCAGGGAAAAGAGAGGCAGGAGCGAGGATTGTGACCCCTTTGAAAGGGTCGGGGATACCGTGAAATACTCGTAACAGAGATCTAAATACTCCTGACAAAGATCTCTGCCTGAGAAATCTTCCCCTGACCCCACCTGCTCCCCCTCCCCTGTATCAGTAACGCTCCCTCCTCCTGGCCCAGCAGGGACTGACCGCAACCCTGAGTACCTTGTGCAGCCCTAACGCTCTGCCACGGCTTAGTCCTGGATCTGCACTGGTTCCTGACTGGTTCCTACAAATGCCAAACCGGGCTGAGGAATCCTTTCCCCCTCCGTCTCCCCAAGTTTCCAGCCACGCCGTGTCCCGCTCCCGGCTGGCTGGCGCAGCTCTGGACCAACGCGCAGCTAGATGGAGCTCTGAACAGAGCAGCTGGGACTAATGATCTCTTCTCTCTGCCATCAGTCACGGTCTCAGGCCTGCTTCTGCGAGCTCCTGGGCTCGCGCTTAGGCTGGAGAAGGAGTCATGTCCTGTATCAACCGTTCCCCCTCTCCTTTCCTTGCTGTAGCCATCCCTTTATCGGTGAAGTTCTGCCTTTGCTCACAAATTTCTGTGTTTCTGAGCTGAGAGAGCAACCAGGTGGCTGAGGCTCCCGTGTTACAGCCCTCTCCCTTCAGCAGCGGGCGCTTCTTAGGGCGCTTGCGCTCTCCGCAGCCATCAAATCCCATGGGAGAGCTGCAGGACACGAAGGGTTAGGAAGGGGAGCGAAGGGTTGTGAGAAGAAAAAACCGTATGGCGAGGGAAAGTGAGAAACTCTCTGGGGACAAGGGGAGAATGAGAAGCACGTAGTTTTAGGCTGGCAAGATGATTTTCCTTTCCCCACTGATCCGTCCGCTTCTGTCCTTCAGCGGACGCTCCTGCATCTCTAGCAGAGATGGCAGCGGCTCACTCGGACCTGTTTCGCCGCGTGGCCCTGCACAAAGCCTTCTGCTCCTTCAGCAGCACTGAAGAAAGCGTGGATGGAGCACCGTAAGCCACGCCGCAAGATCACTCCCCGAGCTTTCCCGCCTGCGGGGAGCGATCTCGAAATGCAACTGTTTTCCGCGGACTGCAGCGCTGCTGCTGGGAACCCCCCGAGGAGCCATCGGCCCGGTTTGAACCTCGAGAGCGACGTTCCCTTGAGCCTTTCGGGCGTGTTGTTGCAGGTAACCTTTCCTCAGCGCTGTGCTTATTCCTCGTTCGAGCGCTGATCTCTGCGGTTGGTGCCGCAGAACTCCACCGTTGCAGGAAACGTCTCGTGGGTGGAATGAGGAATTATATTAAAACGTCAAGATCACGGTGCCGTGGGGGCAGCGCCCCACAGATCGGCACCGTGCACCGACCCAGCGCACCTCAAAAAGAGGGGAATAATCTGTGCCCTGCTTACTACAGCCAGGAAAGGACTTCGTGTTAGAAGCTGGAAGGGGTTGAGGGATAGAGGCGAGGTTTAGTTACTGCGCCTGCCCTCACGCGGGCTGCGTTAACCCCCCCAAGAACGAACACTGAACCTTCCAGAAAACTTCACGCCGGCAGTGGCTTTAGAGGTGCTTTTTCCTTCCCTTCAGGCATGGGGCAGCTTTGCTTGGTGCCCTGTGCTTCAAGTCTGGATCAGATCTCTAAAAACTTGCTGCTTTCTAACAGTACTTTCAAAACTTGTTAATAAAAGTTCTACGTTACTGAAATTGTGGTGTTTAAAAAAACCTTCTGCTGATTTCCTTTAGCCTTCTAATGGGGTTTAGAAGAATAGAATAGGGTTTAAATGACAATATTTCCTCCTGCCTCATTTTTATGCCAGTCCCATGTGTGATAAGGCACAGGGAAAGCACTTTATAATTTTTTTTTTATTTTATTTTTTCTGGAATCATTAGAGCTCCTTGTCCAGGTTGAACTGGACAACCTGTTGAAACGTAACCTCCAGCTTTCGAGTGTCGTGGCTCCGGGTAGCGATTCCTGCCCCTCACATTCCGCGCTGCTCACGGAGGAAGGCTCGCAAGGCTGAAGCTGCTTTAGAAGAGCTGGCAGCTCGCGGGGTGAGCATTCGCTCGCTCGCGTTGGGAGAGGCCTGGCCTTTTGAATATCTGCTCCTGACGCTGGCTGTGCACCCTCAAAAGGCATTTTCATTCTCCCACATCACCTAACTCTGTGGTTGTGTTCTTCTTCTGTGAAAAACGTTTGGAAAGTGGAAAAAAGTGCTGCGGGGTGCCTCGCCTGTGCTGGGGGCAGCCGTGAGTTTGCAGAGGACAGACTTAGGTGTAAGTCCCTGTCCTAACCTTGCCCCCCCTCCCCTTGAGCTACCTCTTCCCACCGCTCCCGCAAGGGGAGGCAGAGCCCTGACCTCGCTGTGGGGTGAAGGTCTGGGCCAGGCTTTTGGGGGAAATCTGTGGGAACTGGGCACTTAAGCTGCTCGGCTAAAGAGCCCCAGCTTGTCACTGAGGCAGCTGCGGCAAAGCCAGGCTTAACCTGCGTCTTGGGCACAATCCCCTGTTCCTGTGGGACAGAGAGAGGCAGAATGGTGGCCGAATGCCACCAATGGGAGGTGCTCGGCCCTGGCACCAGCCTCCTGGCACCAACGTCCCCTCGGAATGCCGGTCAAGCCCTTCCAGCCCTTTGGCTGCTTGTGGCTTGGACAGGCGTGCTCTGTGCTGGGTAAAAACCCAGCTGGCGGCCAGGCCCCGAGAGCGGTGGTGAATGGAGACAAATCCAGTTGGCGGCCGGTCACCAGTGCTGTTCCCCAGGGCTCAGTGCTGGGGCCGGTCCTGTTCAATATCTTTATCGATGATCCGGAGGAGGGGACCGAGGGCACCCTCAGTCAGTTTGCAGGGGACACCAAGCTGGGCGGGAGCGTTGATCTGCTGGGGGGCAGGGAGGCTCTGCAGAGGGCCCTGGCCAGGCTGGGTCGATGGGCCCAGGCACTGGGTGAGGGTCAGCAAGGCTCAGGGCCGGGTCCTGCACTGGGGGCACAGCAACCCCAGGCACCGCTGCAGGCGTGGGGAGGAGCGGCTGGGAGCTGCCCGGCGGGAAA